GAGAGAGAGAGAGAGAGACTAAACGATGTTATGAACGATGTTATGAAGATTAAGGGTGGGTTTACTTTAACAAATGGGTTTAAATGGGCGACGACAGATAGCAGTACACAAAAATACCGGTTTACGTTAAGATGTGAAAAAATAACAAGCCTGGATATCTTTTTGTCGACAAAATATGTTTGATAAAATATTATTGAAAAAATATGTTTATGTTGTTATTGTGGTATCTGGTGGATAAGCTGGTTTTTACACTTGGTCAAGTTGCTGAATAAAATGAAATCTAGTCAGAGATGTGAAATAGGACAGCTGCGACCCCTGTCGGCCATGAATTGCGCTCAAACAATACTATTTTAGTATTATTTATTATATATTGTTACAGCATTTTTTTAACGATATATTAATATTTTGAATTCATTTTTATACGTTCTATTTTCATTTTATACGCTGTATTTAATTCATTTTAATATCGTGCTTTTGTCGGTTTTAATTATTTTTTAATACTTCTGTTTAGTCCAAATGTACCAAAATATTAAATGTATAAAAGTAAATTATTTTTCTATAAATTAACGTTATATTTTCTATATGTTAAAGAAAAATACTGTGTGTTCTTAATTTGTGCATATAAAGGGTTTGGTAAGTGAATAGTTTGCTATAAGGTGTTCTAGTCTATATAAATCAGGGGCATACTTTTTTTATAATTGTCACCATATTTATCTCTATGCTTTCTTTTAGTATAATTATCTGTTTGTATATTAAGTTATTAAATATCAGCGTGAAATGCTAAACACAGCAGGTTTAAACACCGTTCACATCATGCACGTGACATTCCATTTTTAACTAGGAACTGTACCTTCAAGCCAAAGCGCAACTCGGACCGTGATTACATACACACCAGCGTATCGCTCAATGACAGGTGTTCTAGTCTATATAAATCAGGGGCATACTTTTTTATAATTGTCACCATATTTATCTCTATGCTTTCTTTTAGTATAATTATCTGTTTGTATATTAAGCTATTAAATATCAGCGTGAAATGCTAAACACAGCAGGTTTAAACACCGTTCACATCATGAACGTGACATTCCATTTTTAACTAGGAACTGTACCTTCAAGCCAAAGCGCAACTCGGACCGTGATTACATACACACCAGCGTATCGCTCAATGAAGTGTTGCTCTTTTATTACAAACTGGACGACAGAACTCACTCTGCAGGTTATGTTTTAAAGTAGTACTTCATCTAAGAGCTCGTATTTCGCAGTGTAAGTGTAAGTTGTGTTTTATTTGTGTTTATTCGCTTCTGTTGTAATGCATGGCGCTTGTAGATTGTAGTAGTGCCAAACCGCACTATATTGACAGCATATGTGTATATGTCTTATATTAACAGCTCATATCTATCAAACAGGGTGAAATATAATATATGTTAGATTTATGTTCGACCTCCTCTGAGTGAGATGCCCCTACGCTGAGTAATCTTAACACTGAAGAATGAATATCCTGTCTTGTTATGCCATATAAGCATATAAACCACTCTGAATTCCTGTTTGTGTGTTTATAGACTCTCATTAGTTCAGGAGAGCTCAGTAATGGAGGAAGAGGATGAATGTCCGGAGTTAGTTCCCATCAAGGAGAAGCACACCGGACCCACAGTTCAGATACCGGTTACCATCATCACTGGATACTTGGGTCAGCATAGAAAAAAACAAACAAATAAACCATAAAAGATTTGCTTTCATAAATATGATTCATGTAGACCGTAAATCATACTTATGAAAGCTAAATAAATAAAAGAAAATATGCTCTATAATACAATAATGCAAATATGTGTTACTGTATACCCATTAGCTTAACCTTATTTCTCTCTTTTCGAAATACAGGTGCTGGAAAGACAACACTTTTGAACTACATATTAACAGAGCAACATAATAAACGAATAGCTGTCATTCTTAATGAATTTGGTGAAGGTAAGTTATAAAATGAGCAAACAAATAAGCAATCAGACCCCTAGTCTAGTTTTTATTCCTAGATGCCTTTGTTTTATGACAGTCCATGAGGATTTCTTGCTGTTATGACCAGGAGAGGGCAGCAAAGCATTCCCTATTTTTCTTAATCACTGCAATATAGTAGAACCTTATTGCTTATGAAATACCTGCATTTTCATTGTGATTTGGTCTCTTTAACATGGTTATCTCTTCAGATGTTTCATAATTATACCATTAAAATGTTGCCGTATTTTTTTTGTGATTTGGATCATATTCATGAACATTTTGATCAAAAGTGCAGAGGACAATGTAATACTGGGCTACTACTGAGAGGTTGAACCTGTGCTGTGTTGTTCTGCAGGCAGTGCTCTGGAGAAGTCTTTAGCTGTCAGTCAGGCAGGAGAGCTGTATGAGGAGTGGCTGGAGCTGAGGAACGGCTGCCTGTGCTGCTCTGTGAAGTACGGTTGTTCAGACTACTACTCAATACTAGGACTAAAGTATATGAATGTGTGTTGTAGTATGAAGAATAAATACAGTTCCATCTGAACTACAGAACTATTTTTGGACTTTTTGAGATGGCTTAAATGGAAACCCACTATTTCTGATTGCCGTTACATTCCAGTGATTAATAACTGTTGTCCTTGTTTTATTCATTTAATTGTTTCTAATTATTGATTATTTATATGGCATTATAAAAAACCATTATAACTACTGTTGCGTGATAAATAATTAACCACCGTTCAAAAAATTGGAAAGAAATTCATACTTTTATTCAGCAAGGAAACATTAAATTGATAATAATATTGAATAATAATAATTTGACAGTAACGACTTTTTAATGTTACAAAAGATTTATATTTCAAATAAATGCTAACATTTTTTCATCAAAGAATCCTGAAATAAAGAACCGTTTCCCTGAAAATATTAAGCAAAACGAATCTTGATAATAATAGGAAACATTTCTTTAGCATTAAATCAGCATATTAGAAGGATTTCTGAAGGATCACGTGACACTGAAGACTGGCGTAATGATGCTGAAAATTCAGCTTTGGCATCACAGAAATAAATTGCATTTTTAAAATGTATTCATAAAGCAGACCATTTGACAGTAACGACTTTTTAATGTTACAAAAGATTTATATTTCAAATAAATGCTAACATTTTTTTCATCAAAGAATCCTGAAATAAAGATAACCGTTTCCCTGAAAATATTAAGCAAAACGAATCTTGATAATAATAGGAAATATTTCTTTAGCATTAAATCAGCATATTAGAAGGATTTCTGAAGGATCACGTGACACTGAAGACTGGCGTAATGATGCTGAAAATTCAGCTTTGGCATCACAGAAATAAATTGCATTTTTAAAATGTATTCATAAAGCAGACCACTATTTAAAATTGTAACAGTATTTCACAATTTTGTTGTTTTACTGTATTTTTGATTCAAATAAATGCATCCTTGGTGAGCATAAGACACTTCTTACCAATCCCAAACTAGTGTATACTTGCATATATTGAATTATGTCAGATAATACATTATCACCCATTGCTTTTACAGAGACAATGGTTTAAAAGCTATTGAAAATCTAATGGAGAAGAAAGGAAAGTTTGACTACATCCTTCTAGAGACGACTGGATTGGCAGATCCAGGTACTGTATGTCATGTACTCCAACAGATACACCTTCGTAACCTGACAAATCTATTATGGTAGCTAATGCAACCATTGGCCATCTTTCTCAAATGTTGTGATGTGTTTATTTTTTTTGTATAAGAGAGGTCTAAAAATATGTACATCCATGTTTACACAGAGTCTTAGATTAGGTAAAGCATTCCTTACTAGTAGCAATCCACCTTGCTTTAGTCCGCATTTGCATTTAGCTGTTAAAGGAATAGTTCACAGAAAAGATTTGCAGAGCATTTACTCAACCTTGGGCCATCCAAGATGTTGAAGAGTTTGATGCTTCATTGTAATAAACTTGTGTAGCATTACATCTCTTGCTCTCCAGTGTATTCTCTGCAGTGAATGGGTGCCGTCAGAATAAGAGTCCAAACAGCTGATAAAAACATCACAAGCCACACAATTCCAGTCCATCAGTTAACATCTTGTGAAGTGAAAAGCTGTCTGTTTATAAGGGTCCTCTATCCATAATATTGCTTTGTCCAGTGAAAAGTCTCGTCTGAATCCGGAGAGAAATATGGGCGGATCAAGCAACGTTTATGAGTGAAAACATTCCAAAGCAGTTTTGATGTTTTGGCCACAAGCAATGGTTTAAAGCTAAAAGTTTTGATTCACAAGACATTAATTGATGGACTGGAGTCATGTGGATTACGTCAGGTATTTCTAAATTTCTGTAAATCTGTTCCACTGAAGAAACAAACTCATCTACATGTTTGATGGCCTGAGGGTGAGTACATTTTTGGGTGAACTTTTCCATTAATGCAGCTTCAGATCAAAAGTTTTTTTTTTTTTAACATTGCAGACAGTTTAGACATCTTTGTGAAGAAGGATCTTTTCCCCCTACATAGCAAAAAGCACTGTAAAGCAATTGAGAATGAAACAGAGATCAGTGGGAAGGCAGGAAGGGTCAGCAGCATCTCTGCAGCCAGTCTGTGAAGTGAGTGACAGGTGTCACGGGCCAGTGCCGTGCAGGACCCTCAGAGCTCAGACACAA